GAATTCGCATTACAGGTGTACACTGTACAGCGCTGCTACCGAGAGTACTCATTGAAGTGAGTCGCGTGACCCAAATGCCATTCAGGTTAAATGACATTTGAGTTGCCGTGTGGCACTGCCTGAATACCATTTACGTAAATGCCACCTGATGTACTCGTCTGAGGGGGTTGGATCACGCTGTAGTTTACGAGAAACCGCACAAATGAATCACGCTCCGATTTACGACATAGGTGCCCCGAAGGTGGTGCATTTGCTATTTGAAAGCCCGAGGTTATGAGCCCACCTATGCCGAAAATAATAAAAAAAAAAGAACGTTTTTTTAATTCTTTTAGCGGGCAACAGTCACCTAAGTGGCTTTCTTTTATTTCTAGTGAAATCATCACATGGCCGTTGTAAGCCACTGTAACGTTTTTTTACGAAAAAAAAAAGAGTAGTAGGAGAAGCAAATTGGCTTACATTAAACTTTCACCTTAAAAAAAAAAGAAAAAAGTTTAATTATTATGTTATTTGAAGGTTTCACGCGAACTTTTTTCTTTGCCATTTCTTACTCGGTTGAACTAATTCTTTCAAATTTTTGCTGAAAACGTGCGCTATGTTGTTCCACCTCTATGAAAAATTACATGGCACTCCTTTAAAAGGTCAGGTCGCCATCGGTGTCACGTTAGCTGTAACTAGGGCTGTCACAAAGCTGCCAGGTTGGAGATCCGACCTTTACAGACTTATAACGGAATCTCGACAAAACTTCGGCCATTATGCGCATGCGGGACAATGGATGGATGGATGGATGCATGGCGGCTATTCCCTTTAAATCGGGCGGTGACCTGCGCCACCTAGCTTGGAAATTAAAAACGGTATGGAGCCACCTAGTCGAGAAAAGCTGCAATATTTCAACCAAACCATTATACGTTGATGTGTTTGGTTTTATATGGCGTAAAATATGAAACAAGCTGCTTCGTCAATTATTTTCCTCCAAATATTGGAAATTGTTTGTGTCGAAGTCGAATTTTTTCAAAACTTCGAAGGTTCGCCGACCATTTCGAAGGTTCACCGAACCTCGAGATTCGACGTCGATGAATGGATGGATGGATGGATGATAACGGCTGTTCCCTTTAAAACTTGCGGTAGCTTACGCCAAATAGCCTTGAAATAACCGAACTATGGTCGAATCTCAGGTTCGACCATAGTTCGCAACATCCCTTGACGTAATCAGTCTGAGTTATACTGGAATTATAAAGCGCAAGGGACAGACACGGACATGAAGTAGACGGGACAGCGCTATACTCAGAACTGGCGTTTTAATAAAAAAAGAAGAAGTGATAAGATTATGTACAGAAGACAAAAAAGATGAAAATAAAAGGAAGAAATTAAAGGAACAGGAGAATCATAGCAAATGTAGAGATAAATGCATACGCGGAGATAAGTAAAAAATAACATAGAAATAAAAAATAGAAACTATTAAAGACAAAAAAATATAAATTTTAATATTATGTAAAATTTGTACAGTCTAAATTAACCCGAGTGCGCGCGATCGCACATAACACATAGGTATGTCCTCTTGTTAATAAAACAAATAATAATAAAAAAAAAACATTTGCAGTTCCGGAGGAAGCGACGCCACCATGCGAAAAAGACGTGAAGTAGATAAGTGGGGAGCTGCGCGCCTACCCGAGCGAACGGCGCAAAACTGGCTCGGCTACGCGGTCTAAATGCGAAACAAAAGAAAGGGGGCCAAGTACGCACCGTTGGAGTTGCGCATACGAAGTCCAATTGCGGAGTGTGGCGAAGAGGAAACGAGGAATGTGCCAATTGCACGCAAATTTCTTCGACAACAAGATGGTACTATGAAATCCCCCTAATGCCTATTTCGCTATGTAATCTTGTGGCTTAAGAGTGATGTGATTGGTCCGAATAATCTTGAAGCACCTTTTGAAGCAGCTAAGAGTCAATTTCGGAGCGTAAGCACGCACTTCATTTTCGTTCTTTCCACTGCAAACATTATATGTTAAGATGTGCTCTATTCATCAAAAGACATTGTCGATTTTGCCTTCCCACTTATGTGCAACCTTCTGTTAGCATCAATTCCACGGCAGGTTTGATTCCCTCAAGCGCCTCAAACGCATAACTATAATTAGCGGTTTAAATGCGTGCAGAGTCATCAGACACGGCAGCAATATGCTGAATGGTGAAGGACAGTTTGAACTGCACGTGAATGATTATTTTTAGATACGGAGCCAAAGGTAAACTAAATCCTATTCCACGGAAATAATGTTAGAACACAACAATATCGAACACTCAAACTGAAATCTCACTGAAGTCCCTGCTGACGTAAACTTCGCGCTCTCCACTTTTGGCCGCCTCCGCCTCCTTCTCCACTTTTTACCTTGCCCCAATTTGGCTCCTTTCGCACCTTAGGGGAGGAAAACGCTACGAGGATTATCTTCCTGGCAGAAAACCGAGGTTGTACGTCGGCTTTTAAGGGTACAAGAAAAGTGCAATTATTAATTCAGATAAAACCAAAGTTTTGGTCGTTTGATTATTAATATGGAGGGCATTTTATATGTACAAATTCACGATAACAATAACTGGCATGTAAACAATAAATAAGCCTTAGATATAATCCCCAGTCGAACTCATTAAACTTATTCCCAAGTCTCCATCCTCTCTTCCAGCTAATTTAGTTCTGATTTATTCAGTACATTGTGCCAATGTCCAGATGGAACCCATAAACAGGTGGTAACTAAAAAGGGTATTTTACATAAACATATAGGCTTATAAAGCCGTCCGTATGAATCTTCCCGCAATAACAAATACTAATCTAATGTTCGAAACATTAAAAAAAGAAATCGTTAGAATATTCCATTCATCCTTCATCTACCCTTCATCCCTCATGTATCATATATACTAGTCAGAGTCTTATTATGGCATTCTTACTGCAAGGCATGGTTGTTACGTCAGCACTTACAAAGTTTCTTTTAGTACACCCGACGCTTGTGTATGCAATGTCCTGCCCTGGAGGAGTGCTTTCCCCTTCCTACGCGGCTGCGCTGCGGCGAAGCACGATACGCAAAACCGCGATGCCTTCATTACCGTTCTCGCAACACTGCGATGCAAAATCGTGCGGTGAAAAGCGCACTCCACGAAGCTAGCTTTCAGACCCAGAACAGACCACGGGAACATCAGACAAAAATGGGCAGCTTCCGAGTACTGTGGATGTTTGATAGAGAGATCAAACCGAGTAGCAAGTTAGGCGTTAATTAAGAAAATTCGGACAGGCCTACCGTAACGATCCGGCAGCGTAGCGAGGCCTTAGCCATTACATTTTCAGCATTAATGAAGTGAAACTACGTTTTGGCGCAATGTTGGCGCAAATTTAATATTATCGCAATTTGGGAAAATGTAGTAGGATGTAGCAGGAGAGAGCTACTGCGCACACTCTGAACGAGTTCAACAGTCCAGTAAACACAGATAGCAGCGCACATAAGGTGATTACTGAAGTGGTCCATATTAGGGTAACTGTAGCCTTACCACGCAGTGATGTCATTGTTACGCCATCTGCAATAATCTGCGCCTAAGTGCTTACCCTGAAGCATACCCTGCCGCAGGGTAAGCACGCCTTGCAGGTCAAACGCTCCCATGCCCATTTCAGGCTTGGAAACTGGCAGGGTAGGGTGGTATCCTTCTCAACTAAAAAGTGTTCAAACATGAACTCATTCTCCAGCATATCTCGTGAAAGATGTCATGACCCACTTGTTTCTTCGCTTCCTGCAGCCACGTTCAACGACCTGAAGGAAGGCATAACACACGAACACCGAAGTGCAAAAGCGTTCTTGAGGATGGTGTGAGCAGAGTTGTCGCTGATCGTCGACTGCTCACATACCAGCGAGTTAAAACATTCCCTTTCACTCTCTGGCGCAGTTTGGCGCACTTTGGCTGTTTGGCGCGGCATTGACGTCACTGCGTGTATAGGCTAAAGCCAGTAGGCGCAGTAGGTTTCTCCTGCAGCCAGACGTGGCGCGTGCACCCGCAGCCTAGTGACCCAGCATTTTTCCCCTGAGTCATAACCGCTAAACAAATACGTACATATAAAAAATTAAAAAAAAAAAGATCAGACAGGTAAATTTTGTTTGCAGGCGAGCTGGTTCAACTAAAGCCCCTAAAGTTAGTTTCTTTTTGCCTTCTTTTTTTTTTCAAATTTGGCCCAATGCTTTTCAATGTCTGCGGGAAAATACATACAACATGAAACACAAAATACAGCGGGAAAAGAGGAGAATTTAGCCGCCAGCAGTGTTTCAAACTGCGCCTACGCAGGCGCAGTCACAGTCGACTCGGTTAGGGTTAGCAGGGACGTCGGTGAGAGTCTAGCCTCAAACCAATGCAAATGACAAAGCACATTCCGCTGGAACAAAATGGCGTCATTCAGTTCAGCTTTCTACTGTGCGCCGCCATTCGCTTCCTAAAACCTGCACCGTCACGCAGCCAACGCTTCAAAGAATGCCGCTACCGGTAGGAACGTATTACGTAGGAACCTCAGGTTCAACACCTCCTAGATAAGAAATCCTAAGTGCTGAATTTTCCTCCGTCACTAAAGAAGGCCACCGTAGGCCATAGATTGGACACGACTACACCGTCAGCGGTCGGCTAGAAGCAGTGCCCAATCAGTGAGAATACGACTCCTAGATGAACGCTGACGTCGTAGTAGCGTCCAATCTCTGCCTGACGGTGGCCTTCTTTAGTGACGCAGGAAATACCAGCACTTAGGCCTTCTTATCTAGGAGGTGTTGGCTGGTTTCGACGTGGACCAGCATCGTACCGGCGTGTGGTCTTGTGTTACCACCTCGTTATAATTCGGTAAAGATGATCCCCAGACTTGGTTCATCTTAGGATAGATAGACCATGCTTACAATAGGCGTTTTTAAAAATTGGCGCCACGACCGTGCCGCCACCTAGGGACACCTGCGAAAAACATAACCGAAACTTCTCGAATTACGACGCTTGTGGCGCCGACTGGCCGCGACTAGAGGAAACGCTGTTTCTCGTTGCTCTCGTTTTCGTCAATCGTTACCAACACAACACGAAAATTCGTAGTGGGCAGTTGGACAGTAACATACTGCGGTCGTCGACGATGGCAGACTCTCTCGAGACCATCTTAAGGTAAGAGAATAGTTCACAGCTGAGTTTCCTACATTCCTTGCTTACAGTGCCAGTCAATTTCCCAAGCTCACCCAACCCATGTGCTTTTATCCGCAGCAAAGCCAACAGCGCCTTTGTTGACGAAAACTACACCGAAGCGCTAAACGTGAGTCATCGAAACTAAAATTATGCCAGTCATAGTGTCCGAGAGTCGTTCTGATTTCCCTTTAAACCGCGAACATATTCTCAGAGTTGTTGAAAGAACCCACCTTTACAGAAGGCTGGTTTGGTCACAGTTCGCATGACACCTACTCTCGCAAAGCGATGTGCTTTAGAAACGGAGTTATGCCAATCATCGTCCCCAAGAGTCGCTTTAAATTATCTTTAAACCTCAAAACAAATTCTCCGAATTGTTGGGGGAAAATATACTCACCGTGACAGTAGACTGGTGTGGTCACAGTTCGCATGACACCGACTCTATCGAAACGACGTGCTTTCGAAACGCAGTTGTTTTGCTTCGAACTCGACAAACACAGGAATCCTGTATTGGGATTTTAACATTCCGCTACCACATTTAGGTGCAAGACGTCAACTTCCGCCGGTTTCTCTCCTGTAACGTTAAAGGGCTGGCTGGCTCACACAGTTGCGTTTGTCTGTGCAGAATGTGTTGTGACCGCTCGTATCCGCTGGCACACTTGTGCCATCTATCGGTCGGCCCTGGAACGCTTCTTACCTGCGTATATATTTTGATAGTTTTTACGCGCAATTCTTTTACCGTGGGTTCCAATAATTTGGACAATGTTGTAAGTGACAGTTTCACTCAAATAGCGCATACATTTGGTCTCACCAATACTGCAAAACCTTCAGTCTAGTCGTGCACAGGCCAGAAGTGTAGGCACAGGTCAGAAGTGTAGGTGTACCGGATAGATGGCGCCAGTAGTTACAAGAGATCAAAACAGGCTTGGCACAGTTGAATGCAAATATGTGAACCTGCCTTGAAATGGTTGAGGGTTGGCCTCAAGACCGATAACCGAAGCTACTTAAGGCACCTACGAAATAGCAGTTGCAAATTGAAACTCAGTCTGCACCAAACATCCGACAAAATTTGTATCTGACTTACGTTCTGTTTATTTCATTGAAGCTTTACAACAAGGCTCTTGAGGAAAGCCCGTCGGATGCTGAAATCTACGTCAAGCGCTCCCATGCCCATTTCAGGCTTGGAAACTGGCAAGGTAGTGTGGCATCCTTCTCAGGCAACGAGTGTTCAAACATTGACTGTCTCTAGTGTACCTCGTGACAGATGTCATGACTGCTCCTTTCTTTGCGTCCTGCAGCTACATTCGACGACCTAAAGGCTGCCCTAACGCACGGACACCAAAGTGCAAAAGCATTCTTGAGGATGGGGTAAGCAGAGTTGTCGCTGCTCGTCGGCTGCTTGCATAGTGGATTAAAACACATTCCCTTTCACCTTTTTTTTTTTTTTTTTCTTGTCGTTCCTTAACAGGGTTTCTGCATTTCATCTGGGAAAGTTTGAAGACGCAAAAGATGCGCTCGAGAAAGGACGCGCACTTGACAGTAAGCGTTGGCTTTATGCCGCCGTCTTTTTGAGTGCTCACAAACAACTACCATGTTTTTTTGCCCTTTTTTTTTTTTTTTTTTTTCATTGTGCCAACATTGTGCCAACATTGTGCAAGCCTCAAGGCCCGTTCACACTCTTGCAACCGAGTGCGACCGAGAGAGACCAAACCGGTTTTTAAGCCTCTTGCGATCTCTTAGGACCAGCTCCGCTCAGTGCATCCGGTCCCAAGAAGTCTTTCTCGGTCGTACTCGGTTGCAAGAGTGTGAACGCGCCTTAAGACCCCTAATCTATTTGCTGGAGCTGTAACTGAGAGTTGTACAAACTATCCCTGACAGCTTAAGAAATTAATGGCATAGCTTATCACGTTCAGGCTCTCTGCCTTAAGATTCATTTTTGGTTTCAGCTGCAATCTCCTTGTCGGCGGAGCTATAAGGTACTCACGACTCGCCACACCCCGCGTTTCTTAAGCCGTCGGTCACTGCAGATCTGTTAGTTCCTTTGTACTTAGCAGAGTCACCATTTTCTTCGGTGGTCTTATTCCCGAATTGGTCCACTTCATTGGCTGTGGATTGTGAGCAAGGCTCGGGCACAGATAATTTATCCATTACGATTTATGACTGCTTGAAGGCCCTTCTATGTATTACGCAAGGGGGGGAGAGAGTGTCATTATATATTCACGCTGAAACAGTGTTGCCGCAAGATACCGGGAAAAGTGCCCAGCCCGCATTCACTGAAAGCTGGGTCATCCTAGACATGGACGCTTGTCCAGTCAAGTTGGCAAAAACTAGAATGGTGGCCAATAAAGAGCTTCGAAGGCAGTGTGAACGGAGTCGGAGAAATCGGATTTATCTTCGCGCAATATTCCTGTTATCGCCGCTGGCAATCTCGTGGCCACCACAGCGGGGTGAATATTTTCGGCTGATGCTGGCACTTTGGGGGGGGCATATGATTTGTGGAATTTCCAAGTTTTGAAAATGTTGCTAGTGGAGGATGCTTGTACTAAGTAGGGGTTCCACGCTATTTCGCGGTATACTCCTCTTCCTGGAATTGCACAAATTCGGATTTCGTCTGAAACATTGTTTCAGAATGGGTGAAGAAGCATGTTGGTCATGGTAAGGGTATGATGAAAGAGTAAATGAGTTGGGATAAGGGGTGATGCATGCACCTTTTCCATCAAAGAGCTAGACTGTGCAACACGGTTGGTGCGAACACGACATAGATGCTTTTTCACATTTGACTCCGAAGCGAATGGTGGAAATAAGTTTCACCGCTCGGGTTAGTGCCCCAAGAAAGCAGTTTTCGTCATATTTGTTGATTTGAGGACACCCTTTCAGTACTAACAGGGGGAAGAGGACATGGCAATTGCTTATTTGCATTAACAGTGTCGTACTATGTACCTGTGTCGCTCCTGCTTGTTTTTTTTTTTTGTTTTTCTTTCTTCTCTCATTGTTACAATTTTGTTGGTGATTCCAAAGCATCAACTCCGCAAAGCGCAGTCAGAGCCAGACTGAGTCATACAGTAAACTCTCACTTGAGCGAACTTCAAGAGACCCAAGGAAGTAGTTCACTAAACTGAATACCGTAAAGAACTTATTTTTCGCAGGCTCAATATTTCGCGATCTAGATCAAAGCCAAAGTTTTGGAATAATTTGTGGGTTTTAATTTTTGCGACGCTGTGCGATCTCAATATAGATGGCAATGTGTTTACATTTTACCAGAATTATTCGCGGGACCTATTTTTTGTGAATTGTAGGCGTCTCGTGAAATTCGGGAAAATTAGGTCCTTGCGAAAATTAAGTCGTTTACAGTATATTCACCGGGATATGGAACAGCATGGGGCACAGCATACATTTAGTCAAAAGTGTGAAATGCAATTTATGGAGTCATGTACATCGATATATACAAAGTGCACTTCCTCTGGCGCAGCTTGTTGCTGTGACGAAGCCATACTGCAACAGCATGGTCCACTGGCTTGAAATATCCTGTGCAGAGTCGTTTCCTGTTGGGATTGAATGCAGTTTCTCCTTCAAGCTTAGACTTTTGCTTCATTATCGTTGACAACGTCGACGGTGGAATCCTATAGTCCTTCGCAACGTCCACTTGCTTGTGACCATTGTCCAGATGCTGAAGGATTTTGATCTTGCCTGATAGAGACAACCGCTTCCATTTCGTCAAACCCATTATCAAAGTGGGCGCACAAACTGCCGTCCTACAGTTGTTACCCAAATCTCAGATGGCCGAATGGAACCGATGAAAAAGAAACACACCACGTGGTTCGTTTTCATCTACCGCACTGCCGCTTCACCTCTGCAGCGCTGTAAACGCCAGTGATGATACGCCGCTGCTGCAGAGGCGGCGGTGGCGGTGGGCGTCGGCTACGCCAGCGCTGCAGGACACAAAACTTAGTTGATCTGATTGCAAAAATAATCCTGGCTCCACCGATCCAGTTTGTTGAACTGAAATATTCGCTATTCCGAATTTCTTTAATTCGTTCTGCTGAAACATTTCTGCATAGAATGTGTGGCGACTCACTATCCCCAACATTTTGGCTCAGCCTTCGCCTCATTGTCGTCTACTCCGGCAAAGCACAGAAAACCGTTGGGGACCTTTTTAAGTTCGTTATTCTGAAGTATTCGTTAAACCGACGTTTGCTGAAATGAGAGTTTACTGTATAAAATTTTGTTGTTGGTTTTCCTCCTTTTCGCCTAGGCCTCTTGACCATGTGTTAAGCCACTTTTCTTACGCCTGATCTGCAGGTACAGAAACACAGTTCTGCGAGTGGCTAGACAAGTGTGGTGCGCAGTTGAAAACGTCCGAGGACACCAAGCAAAGATCCGCCCCCGTTCCGCCTCCATCCGCACAGTCCAGGATTCGGTAAACATTTCAGTGCATTTATACTTGCGAACTTGTATCATAAAATCTTGCGCATTACATGGCAGGTCATTACATCAAGACGCAGGTTTCGTTGCACAAAGAAAATGGACTAAGTGGAGAGTAAAGGCAATCAGTAATTTTTCTTAAATGGTTGAAGGGTTGCAGATGTAAGGAAAACAGAAAATGTCCCTCACACGTTTTTTTTCTTTTTTATGCAGCATTAGTGAAACTACATTAGCCTTGCCAATGTTACACAAAAGAGTTGGCTTAGAGTCTCGTCCAATGATGGATGCATCACCCCCTTTACCTTTTCAGGCACGAGTGGTACCAGACAGAAAGTCACGTGACAATAACCATCCTCCTCAAAAACCAGAAGGCAGAGAACATTGAGACAAGCTTCACACGCGACACGGCAAGTTATTCTCTTGGACCAGTTTTGCTGGCCATAGCATGATTCATTCCACATTCCCCTGCCGTTTCCTTGGCACGTTGCATAGCGAGTGTGCCTTTGCGGCACAGTGAACTAATGGCATAACGACACTGCCATTGCACTGAATGCCGTCATTCACGTTGCCGTTGTATTTGACATCTTTTGTGGCACTTTGCAGCGAGTTTTATTTCTGTACACCTAGCAGTGGTGTAACAGTGTGGAAGCATTACACGCTTGAGGCTTATGCTGGTATTAGCCCAGTTAGAAAAAAAAAGGCGGTGTAATTTCACTTGAGTTCAATTTCGTCTGCTTCTTTTGCATGGATTGTCGTGACGTCAGAAAGACTCAGAGCTCCAATTGGCTCCAATTGAAGGATAGTCGGTAGACCTCGAGGCAGCTTGCTTTGACATCTACCCACTATCTTTTAATCAGAGCCAATCGGAGCTTGGCATCTTTCTGTTGTCACCTCAAGTCCTGCGCAAGAAGCAGACGACTTGCTCTCTGTGTGTGGCTGTGGAGTAGCCTGAAATGTGAATTTACTCTTTACAAAAAAAAGCATTGTTCTAGAGAAAAAGACTGAGTGTTGTACTTCTCTGCTGCAAGTGGTGAATGTGAAATAGCAGACCCAGGTGTAACAAGATGTCCTCGGCACTTGCAGATACGCTTCAAGGCAAGGCTTCCATCCGGTGACGACTACGAGCTTTTCTTGGAAGTGGCGCATCCGATCGTTGCGGAACAGACAACCTACAAGTGCTACTCCAGCAAGGTAGTACTTACTACCCGTTCTTTAAAGGGATACTTCAACGAAATCTGAAATATACCCGTCGTGTTCAGACATACGTTGAATATGATCCACCATATCCGTAAATGACAATCGCATGTTTGTATTTTGAGCCTGGTGGCTGTTTTTTTCGTTATAAACGGCCCACTCTGGCAAGCGCTCGGAGAGCATCCAGCGGAGAGCACGTGACATCCGACGGAATTGTGACTTAGTTAGTCTCGGGACGAGCAAAGCTGTGGCGAGGCTGACGTCGGGAGGATGTCGTGGTCATTCCAGCCACTGAAACGGCTGCTTTTGTACGGATTTTGAGTGACAGGTTAATCTTGTATAATTTTGTAGAGGGACAATAGCAACTTCTGGAACACACAAGACATTCTCGGGGAGAGGGGAGTTAATCCTTCCCCTCTTTTCCCGTGGTGGCCGGAGGCGAGACAGTTATCGTCACTACCTGTCAAGGTTCCTAGACGGGAATTACAAACGAGGGGTTAGAGACATCCACCAGGTGCTCTTTGCTAATTGTTTAATTTGTTTTAAAATTTGTTTTCTTGTCTTTATTGACAAGGTATCGGTCAGTCTGATATGATACTGCTTCTTTGAACTCGTATAGGCAAGAAAATAAGTGCCGAAATTTCGTTGAAGTATGACTTTAAAGAGACCAGTAAGCAATATTAACTTTGAATTTTGCTAACACTCTTACCGCTTGATGGGCCACGAGAGAACAAGGAGGCGAGGGTAGAGAGCCAAACATTTGCATAAGCCATGAAGTTTCTGATGTAGAGTTAACGTATTGTTTTCTTTACCTTCGTCGGGAGGCTTTTCGACATTTCATCGCAGTGTCAGGGGCACAGCATCTCTTCTCTATCTTTGGTGTTTTTTTCTGTAAGCGTTAATGCATGGAGCCACAAACAATTGCATGTAGCGTATCCGACGGAGATCGGGGATTGCATCTAAACTCCACGTGGCGAGAACGTCTTGTGGTTGCTCGCAGCTTGGGGCTCGGAATCTGTACCATTCTCGTGGTCGTTGGCCCGCACTTCTTACTTTTGAGCGTTGGTAAATTGAGTTCCACAGGTTTAGTATAAGTGTGTGGAAATACTAGTCGTCAACGGAGGTGAGAACAGCAGGGAGGTACTTCGGTTGTTCCGGCATGGGCCTTTTACTTTCGACAACTCTTCGGCTCCTTGTGCACCTCGAGCGCATACGCTCGGTCAAGGCGTTGCAGGAGGCCTGGAGGCAGGGCATTCGAAAGAACGCGCCCTGTCGTTCTCACTCTTTCGATTACTATAATGTTTGTTTACCGAGGATGTGCACTCTCCCGGTAGGCGTGCCATGGAAAAACGAAGTGTGGCCTGTCCCCCACATCTTTTCTTGCCTTGGCATACCTTGGCATACCTGCCAACCCTCCCGAATTTTCCGGGAGCCTCCCGAATTTTGATCACATCTTCCGATTGTACGGACGCGACCCCAGATCTCCCAAAAAATGTCCGCCGTAATTTTTTTTTCTTCTATGACTCCTTCTTGGTTATAATTATTGCGCGTGTGTCATTGCGAGGTACTCGAGAGTAGGTTTAGGTTACTCCGGCGGGTTACCACGTGACAACTCGGAGCAGTAGCGTAAAACGAGGGTAGATTTTCAAACTCCAAGCTACGAAACCTCTATATTCCTGAAGTTAGAGCGCATTTTGGAACACTGCTTATATGACCATGGGTGTGCTAGGCTTCAGTTGGCTTTGTCAGGTCGTCGAGTGAGATGCGGAACGCTGAACTACTCTTCGTGTTTCTCAGAGTTTTGTTGGAACCACTGATCTGTTGGAACGATCGATGGCACTTTCAGAAGCCACGAAGAAGTACTTGCAAGTATTTCTAAGATCATATGCGACTGAGTTTCCGTGCTTTGTTGCTTCGCGGAAAGCTGACAAGTATGAATTCTGTACCATGTGCGCCTGTGATGTGCGAGCGTTTCGCACGGCGGCAAGCTTGACATCAAAATACACATCGCTTCACAAAAGCATCAGAACCATGCTCGTGCCGTAGAAGGGCAGGGCACCGCCGGCAGTTTACTCCGAGACAACTGCGAAGACAGTGTGATTCGCGCGGAGTGCCTCTTCACGGGTTTTTTTTGTCAAACTGAAAAGAAAAAAAAAATGTTTAAACCCCCCCCCCCCCCCCCCCCCCTCCTCCCCACATGCAGCGGTCTCCCGAATTTTTTTGTTGCTAGGTTGGCAGGTATGCCTTGGGCTGTTTGACAGAAAAAAGACGCTCTATCTGGCCAGAAAATAAATAAAAAGCAGTCGCTCGTAGGCGTTCACGCTAAAACATGGCTTTGGTGTGGATGTCCGCTTTGACTGACAGAGATTTCAACCTTCCTCTTGAAAGGGATTGATGCTGAGGCATATGCGACAACGAATCCTTCAGCCCTTCCAATTTTTAGGAATCCGACGATAGTTTCATTGGCAGTTACGGGAGGGATCAAAACTATGTGAATCCTGCAAGCATTTCAATAACTTCGGTGTCTGCACGTCGGTGGGAATGTGACCAGAAATCCCGAATTAGAGCAAGAAATGACACTGGAAGTCGAGGAAACGTTTTTGTCGTATTTTTGGTGCTAATTGCCCGTTTAAAATAAAATTTTGCTGTATGTGCTTGAAAAAATATGAGTTGGCAAGGGGTTAATGGGAACACTTTTCGTTTTCAGGTCGAAATACGTGCGAAAAAGGAGGAAGGGATTCGTTGGACGACGCTGGAACTTGATCGCAGCTTGCCGGCCGGCCCGTGCGAGAGGATGACTTCGGGTGAGTGAGAGGCGTCTTTGGGAGTCTTTTCCGTATGTTTGTTCGACTCCAATTCTGCAGCTGCGACCGGGGCCTTGCGCCTGTACGATCCGGCGCGTCGCGTTTTCGGACTTCGCAATCTCGGTGATTGGTCGGGGAAGTTCCGGCAAAAGAGACGGTGCCACCGCCGGCGTGGTGTCCCAACTCGTTGCTGCAGAGGCTTCGGTGAACTGTTGAACTGCAAACCATGGCAGAATGAATGTCTGCTGCGTCCGGCTCCGCTGCGGCGGCACCGCCAGGGTCGCAGCGGGCGACAGCAGGATACTTTTAAGTCTTCAAGCAAAAACGGACCCTTTTCGAAATGCATAGAATATGTGCGGCCGCGATGAGTTGGTCATGCCCTGTGAGCATGCAGTGGACACGACTGCTTCGTCAGAATTCAGATTGTACTCTGATCGAAAGTCGTTTCACGCGAGTGTTGCGTCGGTGCTCGACGCAAACTTTGAACCAATCATGGGCTTCGTGCCGGAAGCGATGAGACGGACTAATGGCGGCTGCAGACGAGCTATGCAGAATTTCACCATTCCATTTCTGACGACGCGTCAGGATCTTTACAAGTCATTGTTTATAGGAGCAACACGTCCGTCACGAGTCGTGTTACGGTAGAACCTTAATTATTTGTTTTTCAGAAAGCTGGGGAAGTGAAACGTGCAACCCAAGAAAAGATGAAAAACGAGAACGAAATTTGGGGAGGTGCTACAAATAAGACGTGTGTCCGCAAAACATTTGATAGGTGTGAGCTCGGATTGGCTTGGACAAAGCTTTAAAACATTCGTAGGTGTAATCTGAAACCAACGTAGTGTAACAGTTTGTAGGCGTGATTTCGAGTACGTCCGGAAAAAGGTTGCAATTGTTCATCTGTGCAAACTTGAATACATTCAGAAAAAGCTAGCAATTTCGACCTCCCGCTTTGGGTGACTGAAACACGGGGGAGCGAGCGACAAAGTCCTGGGCTTGCGGAGGGGCATTTGCCAATGTCTACATCCTGTTGTCTCCACGCAGACGTGCGCAACACTTCAGTACGCCAAAACCGAAAAAAAAGGTTTTGCTGCTATCTCCGGCACATGCCGGAGATTGCAGCATGATAGACGAGGTTCGACAAAAGCGTCTTTACACAAACCCGGAGGAATACCAGAACGTGCAGCGCATCAGCTGCGCAAAGTTTTTGCAGTCTCTCTCGCGTGTGGAACCAAGAACCGTGCGACAACACGGACGGCAAGCTTGCAAAATCGGAACAAAGAATGATGCACCATCTTCGCGTTGCTCTTGAAGAAGAAATAAAATTTTCATTGCCAGACTACACATATTTGAAGCTTGGTTCAAAGTAAAAATATCCGCGAGTAATGAGGCGCTTTTTCGGTTTGTGCTTTTCACGGATTTCTGGCAGGGTTTGACTCGAAAACCGTTTTGTCTGGCAAGAATAACCTTTTTTCTTTTTTGGACAAAAGGCGACGCATTGCTTCCTTTTGTCCATCCATCGGTTCGTTTTGGTTGTGCGATTCTTTGTTCCACACGAGGAACGCTGCAGGAAAACTTTTTCCGGCTCGCGCTCGGAACAAATTTTGGTTTCAGTATTGCTTGAGGTCTGTGTCAAGAAGCTTCTGTTAGAACTTGTCTAGGACGTCATACTCTGTCCTGGACATCCATCCAGCCTCTCATCCGCCAAGGCCACAAGGCCCAATGAGGTTGGGCAAGGCACTTTCTGTGCCTGCGGTGTATTGAAGTGTTGTGCACGAGCACACGCGGAAGGAGGACATGGGCCAACACCCCTCTGCAAGGTCAAGACTCCGTCGCACCTATTCAGACCCTCCTCAGGCAGGACCACACTTGTGTCATGCCTTGGTTTAGTCAAGCCAGTGCCGCTTCGCGCCAAGTCGCTCGTTGTGTTCTGTGTCGCGTGGCACATAATGGCAGCACAAGATTCTTTTTCTTATTTATGCAATAGCGCCGTTACCATAGTAAAAATAGTCGCATTAGTTTTTGGATGACGGTGCCACTGTGCAGTCGTTAAGTGGTTTGGTAAATCCTCACTGTCCCTCGTCTTCCCCTTTGTGTGAATGTGCTTGGGAGGCAGAAGATCCGCGGACATGTCGTCGCGTAAGCGTGAATCGGCCGTTGGCACTATATCAGCCGCTTCTTGGACGTAGGCATTGGGAAAGCAAACTCGCTAAGCGACGAGTCAATACATGTGTTCCTCGGTAGCTCGGCGGGACCGGTGCTTCTGGACGTAAAAGCTGGGGAAACTAAAAAACCGGGAATGTATCAATGAGGTTCTTCCGTACTTTGGGTAGGAAAACTAAAACTAAATGTGCCGTGTTGGGTGTTGTAAACTTACACTGCAATATTGTTTTGAAGGCTGCTGTAAAGTATTTTGTCATTGAAATTGAACAGCAAACATGAGCGATTGCAGGTTCTCGGTGTTCTCTTACCTGACGACGCATTCTATACCTTGTTCCGAGTGGATATCTCTGCGTAGCACCAGTTAACTTCTCAATCACTGTGTGGGGAAGCTTGCCTGAAAATTCTTTCATTGAATGAAACATTACTTGATGGACACAATACCAGACTGCACTCTTAAAAACTAACAGTAGTACCCTTGCCCCAAAAATTGGTGTAAGGTTACTTTTGTTGCAGCAACATGTTTAAACGTTGCTGCACGGGCCATATTGTAGGTAGGTGGAGCGTGGGGTCTTCAGTTGTTTGCAGGTAGGTGTTCAACATCATACAACAGAATAGACTTTTTCCATAAATCCCTGCATGCCACACTGTGCGAGTTGCAATCTCGGAACTAGTTGGCCAGGGAGGAGAGTGGCATGGTTTCGGTTTTGATAGTTACGTCGACAAGATATCGTACATAGACCGTGGACTATTCACAACCGTTATATTTTATGTTTCGTGGTTCCTAGTGCATCGTTTTTGGTCTCTGAACTAACTTAAACGGCCCAATTTCTAAGGTTTAGCGCAAGCCCAAACCATACATAAAGTTTGACTTGACACATGCTTGTTGTATTTTGGTACTCGAACCTTTCTGTTAGAGTTTCGATGTATGTGGACGAGTCGGTGCTGGGAATCTCGACGCTGCAAAGCTTGGGGATCTTGGTTGTTACACGCTCTAACAATCAATAAGTATGCATACACCGAGTTTGCTCCTTTACATTAGTGTTGTTGGTCAATAAGTCTGTTACTTGATTGACCAAATATACCTGTTTGCAATTAGTGATGTGATTGGCCTAAGCCGTTTCGGAGCACCTTTTGGAGCAGCCAGAACAGTGTTTTGTAGCAGCAATAGTGGCTTTTGGAGCAGCTTAGACAGTGTTTTGGAGCAGCAAAAGTTGCTTTTAGAGCAGATATTCTTAAAAAAATTAAAATATTTGCTTCAAGTGCTGGACAAACGGAGGACGGTATGCTCGGCGCAATAAACAAATTATAGTCAAGTTAGACCACCTTGGGAGTCTTTCAACATGTAACTGAAATGCCAATGACATTACACATTTTGCAATGCTTCAGTTAAATGGTACATTTATATGTACCCACTATAAGTAAATAAGAACCAAATTGCACATACTAAAATTTATTTGAAAATGACCATCTTAGAAATAAATAGCACAGCATTAGGTTGACTAGTTATATAATAAATGGAAGCAGTCTCCGACTGATGAAACATGTAACTACTGCAGTGCAATGCGAAATTGTTGTGCGAGCGGAGATGGCTGTTCGATCGAAACTATGCCACTCTGCTCCATTGCCAACTGGTTCCCAAAATTCTATGCAAAATGTAACTGTTCAGTGTATGACAAAAAACAATCCAGTGGCACGTGCTTGCCAGGCTGGCAGGCGAGGTACAAGCTAAACGCACACACACACACAAAAAGAAAAAGAACCTGAGTGCATCGATGCAAGACATCGCAAGCCAGGGTCAAAAAGTTCTTGGAGCGCTTTGTGCAATGACTGAACTCCAGACAAACAAGCGCGCTGTGCGGGTTCAGCTTGCAGACATTGCCTCCTTTGCTTTAGCTCACTTCTCTTCACCAACTTTCTTTCGCGGCAGATCTCAAAAGAAAGCCTGCCGAAAGAAACCTAGGTAATCAATACTTCGACAGAGCAGTCTTTGAGCTAGAGGGACTTTTGTAGTAGCGTATTAAACAAGGACACGAATGTTGCGCCATATTTGCAGCGACCTGGGGACGGCAACACCCGACGTCGCGCGACCACGGTGACTGACAAGCAGGGACCACATATATTTTGCCCCAGCCGTTGCTTTCAGGAGCGAGCGCTTCAGTTCACAAAGTAACTCCCGCCGCACAAAAACATGGTTTTGTTTCGCAGCATGACTGTATGGCTGGTACCCAGCACGGTAGCGTCGGAGCGGCTGCAGCGTCTGCACACGCCCGCGTTTATCGTTGAAAATGTTTTAAAAAGACGCGAGACGAGAGCGCGAAACAAGAGACGGCGGGAAAAACCGGAAAAACCACGCAAGACCAGATGAACGATTGATGCAGGGTACTTTGTGTCGGGTGGCCGCTTGTGCCACCTAGCTCACGCATGCTTAATTACGGTACTCAGTTTAGTTTCGGTTTTGAAAGGCGACCAAAATTGGTCCTTTGGCGCAGGCATGGCACAGATTACCTATTTTTTTGGCAAAATGTAGCAGGGTTAGCTCCCTGGTGCAGCTTGGTGCAATTGGCACAGCAATCACATCACTGCAATTACTGTTTTTCTTCATTTGCCTGAGTATGAAAGGTAAAACTCGGAGACACTATTGAAAAGCAGAAATCAAACAAACTTCATATCTTTTATCTACTAATTAGATATCGCGATTCTGCATGAAGTTATCCTGCAATCATGTAGGCACATTCGCACATAAAGACTGTTTTTAAGAAAGCAGCAGTCAAGCGTTTGAGTGAAGTAGGTCTCACCGTTCACCTGACGGCACGTATACGGGCGTGATCCCACGTATGCAGTGCGCCAAACGGACTAAAGGATATCTCGGCATTAGCGAAAATTTAATCTCCAATCAGCATAAAACATGAGTGGGAGATATATGATGACACGAGGAAGACTTTATAGTAACTTTTGTGCAGCAGTGAGGTCGCATTTGTTGCATTTCCTTAAAAGTTAATGCGCCAACGTTGGGCTCAACTTTGACACTCATGTGAGGATGAGGCTTGTTTTTTGCCCAAGGAAGTAACAAGGCGGACGTCTGGCAAACAGAATGTCTGTAAGGCTCAAACTGACCAAATTTCAGTTGTCGTTCCTTGGCACTAGACAGGATTATTGGAATAGAGCTCAAATGCACAATCGTGGGTTAAAGTGGCTAAGCCACATCTTTCTACATTTGCATGCGCAAGCACAATATCCAGCACGTCGGAAACCAAGAAAGTGTCTCGGTCATTCTTCTTTATCGTTCGAGAATGAGAATAGTCTACATTCGTGGAAAGTCAGATAATCGAGAACACAAGCAGCTTATTCGGTCACGGCGTGATAGCATGAACAGAAGCTGCTCAATCCAAACCGAAACAGAGTGGCCAACTAGCTCCCAGAGTGCACTGCGTGGCATTTCACTGTGATGGGCGCTTTGAATTTTGAAAGTAGTCGATTAGTGCTTGCATCGCTCGTAGACAAATCTCATTCGCCCCACCGTAAAGTAAAGATTGTGTGCCTATTTCGTGCACATTTATGAATTTGTGAACAGAAAAAGAATGGCTTTCCCTTGTCCATTTTTTTTTTTCTTCAATTTCAGAATTGACAAATGCATGCATGTTTGCCAGGTGTCGTCTTCTTACTGGTGTATGTATATTGTCTGATAGTCGAGCTTTGCTGAGCCATGCCCATGGTTGCCGACTGGTACCCCAACAAAGTGTACTCCACCCAGGGTGGCCAGACAAGCTTTTGAAGTGAGGCTGCTTGCGAACGCATATATTTCGGGAAGCGCTCGTTCCCAAACAAACCATTTTGCCAGATAGCGCTTGCGAAGTGTGCTGGCAACCTTGAGGCGAGTTTCTCTGTCGTCTGCTACCACCACTCTCAAAAGTCCCGTAATTCCCAGGGTGCTCACTTGTGTCGCTGGCATTTACAAAATCACAAATTGTGTCGTATTGGGGTATTTGTTTGGCATGCAACGCCGACAGTAACCAACATTTTGGGCACGAAGCACTGCCCCAGAGAAACGCATCCGGCTGTACGAAGTTTTACCTCGTGATGGACCGCGGCTGATGATACAAGCCATCCCAGCCAATCGGGTACTGTGAATGTATCGCGCATTCATGTACCCCATATGTCACTGCGTCCCTACCGAAAGTCATGTGACACTAATTGGAATGGCTGGGATGGCTCACAGCATCTGCTGCGGTCGATTTAGGATGAAGCGTAGTATTGCAGCGTGATTGAAAACACTTAACATTCTGATGACGCTCATTCCTGCGAGCTGTCAAACATGGCGTCCCGTTGCATTCATGAGAGGGGGCGGCGGCACGCCATAATGGTCTTTCGTGCCCGTTACCGCAGTCGCCGAGACAGAGGCGGCCAAGGCCGCGGTGGCGACCCGGACGAAGAACTGGGACCGCATCGTCCAGGAGACGGGTGAGGAAAAGGAAGAAGGGGAGGCCGCCCTCAACACCCTCTTTCAGAGGATCTATGCCGACGGGACGGACGAAGTCAGGAGAGCCATGAACAAGTCCTTTGTGAGTGTCCTTCTTTCAACTACAGCACCACTGCGTTTTCAGGACTATAGTCTGCAGACTTTGCACGTTCAAATTTCAAGCGATGCGGACCATCTACGTGTGCAGAATATGAAGGATTTTTTTTATTTTATGTCGTTCGTTATGACGAGACACGACAGATTTTGCGATTGACGGAATGTGTCAATGACGGTTTATGTATGATAAAAGCCTTTTGTGAGCTGAGGAAGCAGGCATTTGTCGGTATGCTTTATGTGTGGACTAGGCACCGGATGCAGGCCCTTAGGCTATCCCTTTCATGCGAGACGTGGAAGGGATTCGTAGCAGGTGCTCGCCGTATGCTTGTGAAGTACTTTCATACAGTCGTTTCTCATTATTGTATTTACCCCCAAAAAATTGTCCGTAATACCATAATAGACCAAGAGATGCCCCACTCCCAAGAATAGCCCACCCCTATTTTGGCACAATTTGCAGTTTTTCTTTTTAAAACATCGAAAGATGGTTCACTTTTAGTCATTGTGGGGCTTTGGCCAATAGTGACCTCTGCAAAAGCAGTGTTACTTAAAGGGACACTGACGCCCCCCAAAATAGTTTTTTTCATTTTTTGCCAGGCGATTCATTATGGTGTTGGAATACTACCCAATTAATATTTTGCTACAGAGTTGCATATTTTTTTAATAAAGCCAAAAAACACAACTGCTCGAAACTGAAACCGAAACCCACGCGCTGACGGAGATGTGGAGAGGAGAGTGAGTGGCGGAAGTTACGTGGCTACACCCAACCGTGCGATTTTCTTCTTTTTTTTTTTTTTTTCTTCCAGGTGCAGAAGACAAAATGTGTTCGGGATCTGTTTGCCATGCGATTCCTTTGCAGTTATGTTTGTTCCTCTTGCGGTTCTTGGCAATTATTAGTGAGTGCCCGTGGGGAATTCCCGTGATCGGCTCGGAAAAGAACATTTTCAAGATGTTGCGCGAAGAGCTGCCTCACATCTGAAAATGGCATTGTGCGGCAGAGGTGTCAAAAATGGAATCCCATACCATTTAATTCAGCGACGTATCGTCCACAACAACTGTTTTTTTCCATTGATAATTGTAAAAAAAAAGAAATGTAAACATTGCAGAATATTTGAAAAAAAAAAAAAAAAATGGTACGCCCACACTAGGGATCGAACCCATGCCCGCTGCATGTGAAGTGGACGTTTTTCCACTGAGCTACTGAAGGAACTGTTTCGTTCTTAGTAATGCAGCGGGTCGACTGCATGTCCGAAAGTTTGCTGCCGATTTCTCTCTCGCACATGCACTCCCGTCTTGAAGTCGGGGAGCACCACGCATTTTTAACTTTTTTTTTTATGTGCAGCCTTTTTTTTTTCGCTTGATTTGTTATTGATTTTTATAGGTGGGCTATCTCTCGGTATATTATGGTAATTAGACAAAAATGTGTGTAGTTATTCATTTTGTCCCTTGAAGTTTTTGTCTGTGTGGCGGAGTGACCGTACGAATGGGGGCCATATTAACGAGACTTGACTGTACCCTTCGTGACGGTTGTTCGCCAGTTTCACGGGGTCGTACACACCACCCACGTTTGAAACACCATGTTGCATTTGTAAGGAGCGTACATCTTTGGTGGACGCCCGAAGGCGACTGTGACCTTTGGCTTTGCGCAGGTGGAGTCTGGCGGCACCGTGCTCAGCACCAACTGGAACGAGATCAAGAGCAAGACGACGCCGGTCAAGCCGCCCGACGGCATGGAGTACCGCAAGTGGCAGGAGTAGTGCGGGGAGTGCGCTCGAGCCCGGTGCGCATTGCACTATGCCCTTCAGAGACTCTGCTGTTTTGCCAAATGAAAACCAAGATGCAAGTCTGTCACGATGCCCGGCAGCTACCGAGATGTGCAGGAATGTTCGTTTGTTTTTTTTTTTTTCTTGTGTTGACTAACCTCTTGCAATAATAAAAAAATTATCTCGAATGGTTCTTTCTTTTTCCTTTTTGCGAGAGAAATGCCACTTGCAAGATAGCACTGTGCATCGTTGCAAGTGCATTATGTAAAGGTACTATGTCATGTGTACATTTAACGGCGAGAAGTTAGCCTAAGTGGATGTTGTGTGCCTGCTGTCGGTGAGAAATTTAGCTAGTGCAACAGAATTTCTGTACTTAATTTCACCCCAGAAATGGCAGAGGCCACGGGCCGATGGTGCGAATCGTACAAAAACTCGCCAACATGGTGTACATCATGCTTTTTTTATGTATTCTGTCAACGCTGAACTAATCGTGCACAGGAAAGGCCTATATTTCGTTTCGGCTCAAATGCAGGCGCAGCTGACGGTACGAGGTAAGTGGACCATTCAAGTAGCGTCAAAAGTGAAAGTCGATGGGCCCTTTGTGATTGGTTCATCGATGATGGAGCATACAGAAACACAACGAACACCATGACAGTGCACTTTTGATGCTGTCAGATTGGTACTCGGCTATGTTCCTACGTTGCGTGAAATGAAGCATAGCCAGAGTAAAATGCTGCGAAAGGAGATGACAGACATTGCCGCACGCTCGTTTGCTCTCCGTCAGCTCCTCTCCGGGTATGAAATCGGGACTCACCAGTGAAACAATTATGAACTACCGACACACTTGTCTCTAAGCTTGGTCCAAGGAGCCCGAGCATATCCTTCCGTCCTAAGGGGGCACAAATCAGGAAAGCTGCGGCGGCAGCTCTTCTTCGAAAGATGTCTGGTTTTCATCGCGGTTGAGCTGGCACAGGAGTAGCGCGGGACAGGAGCAGTGGCTCACACCGGGCCCCGCTCTGCCACCGTGGATGCTCGCCACTGGCTCCCACCTGAGTTGTATTGCCCGGATGGGAAACGGATTGTATTCTGTGCAACACATAGCGCAAACGAGCAATTGCAGAGCTTTAACACAATGTGTTTCATCAGCCGAATTCTATGACAAAATCATTGTGAAGAGCCGTTGCAATATCGCGTGACAGTGACCATGTCACGTGACGAAGTTTCATGACGTCATTATTTCACTGACACTGTGAGGTCACATGACCGAGCCCAATGGGCGCCATATGTGACGTCATAACGTTGTAGAACTCGGCTCATTCACAGCATGTTGTATGCTCCCTGATCTTTGTCGGCATGGTCCATCGACACGACTCTATGCAATTTTCGTGCTTTTTTTTATTTTTAGAATTGGATGGCCGTCATCAGAACTAGTAGAATGGGGGGAAGTGCTCCACTGGGGGACTAACCTAGGCAGTAACTCGTGCTCTCCAATGCTGGAAAATGGAAAAAAAAAAAAAAAAGCTCGTGTTGGAACATGTCTATGACTGGTGTGCGTACAGCGGGCGGCGGGTAAAAGTTCGCCGGGGGTAAGCTCATCGAAAAACTGTCCGATGCGGTGAAAATTTCACCGGCCTTTTGACGTAATGCAGAGAAAAGCTCACCTAGAAATCTAAGAATCGAGCATTAACAAAGTGACATACGTTCACTAAACTGACTTATGTTGGGATGCCTTATGCGCATACAGTCATTCTGCACTTCACTAGCAGAATTTATGTTTAAAATATATAAACGTCCCGTAACACGTCGGGGCATCGCCCGACGAAATTGAAAAATAATTTCAATAAAACGCATATTAAGAAGAAGAAAAAAAAAAAGAAAACGGGGGTGAGGTGGATATTACCAGTGTAGAGGGTTGCAGCGTGAGTAGTTTCTGGATATTTATTTCTGAAATGACCTTTCATGTAATGTGCCAACTACAGTGATGCCAAAACCGAATTGCCAAATCTGCACGTTCCGAACGGAAATTAAAGGTATTTCCTCTATCCCGGCTACGTCAGAAGTAACTTTGGTAACACTCGCGCAAAATGGGTGGACATAAAAGGGAACGAGGGCTACAGCCAGGGTGGAGAATAAACATCAAGATGACTTAAATCCTGAATTAAATCCTGATTTAAATCGGGCCGGTTTTACTAGGATGTCTTAAACCTTTCCCGCAAAAATAATCCCCCAAATATATTTTTGTTTACCGTTTGTTTATTATTTGATGCTTTCAATGTTTAAAAGGTTAAAACAGCGCTCTGTCTGTGTCCTTCGTTTTCCTGTCTGTCGTTTTGTTTTTTTTTCGCTGTTTTAACCTTTTAAGTATGTCATACCAACTCGCCCAGGCTTCAACTTTAGCTTTCAATGTGTGCGTATGTTCTGTATTTAAGTCAAGGAATCATGATACAAGAAAGATTTATATCGGACTGAACACGAGCAAAAAGCAGTGGTCTTTGGAGCAAATCGATCTGTTGAGCCATATATCTGCGTCCGATTTCAGTCGTTACTTACGTCACATCTTTTTGTAATAAAATCGGAACGCAATAGATAGAAACGAAAACGGGGAAAGTAATGTCGTAATTGCAGAAGTGTTGTGATTTTGGGCGAGTTGGTATGATGACGTGGTGAACAGAACAGCGCACAAAAAGACCGAGTACAGAGAGCGCTTGTGTGTTGTGCATGTTCCTTTTCTCTGTCCTTATCTTTTTGTGCGCTGTTCTGTTCACCATATCAGATAAAGTCGTAACAAAAAAAAAAAAAAAAAAACGAATCTTGAAAAATAGAGTTTTTTTTCGTTAATAAATAAAAAAAAAAGCTGTTTTTGTTCTAGTATAACAAGGTTTTCATAAACCAAACGTTAAAATTGAATCATGTCGTATTACACCTGAGACTGCGGTGGAAGAAATCGGAAGAACTTGCAGTAGAAGGAACAGACACAGAGAACGTCTCAAGTAATTTTTTTCCGCATGGTTTTCACTGATCGGAAGAATTGATCGAACAACCTGCCGTCTATAAAAGTGCATATAGTGATAATATGTTTTAGCTACAGTGACATTAATCTGATTTCAATCTAATAAACATCACCTATTTTTTTATCTGATTTTAATAAATAGTTATTTTTTACTATTTTGCCCTCAGCAGTAGGGATGTCGCGAACCACCCTAGGTTCGATTTCGAAAGGTTTCGATATTTGCGAAGCAAACTGAGGTTCGATTTCGAAAAATTTCGATATTTTCGTACCGACCGAGGTTCGATTTCGAAAAATTCGCAACTTTTGTCCACAGCTGAGTTTCGAATTCGAATATTTCGAAGCTTTCACGGTTTCTAAAATTTCGAATTCGAATATTTCGAATATTTTTTTACTTCAGGTTCGATAAATTCGAAGATTTCGAAATTCTTTGTAAAAAAAATTCGAAAACTTCGAACGCTTCGAATTTTTGTAGACATGAAGTTCGAACAATTCGAAGATTTCGAATTTATTTTGGCATAAAGTTCGAAAATTTCGAAAGTTTCGATTCTCTTTTAACGCTAAATTCAAAAAAAAAAAAAAAAAACTTTGAAGATTTTGAATTTTTTTTAATCCGAGTTTTCAAAGTTTGAAGTCCGATTTTCAAGTTTTTCTACAGTTTCAGTTTCAAATAACGTTTTTACGACTCACTTGTTTTCACAAAATCAAGTTTAGAAAAGTTAGGGTGTGATATCTAGATTCTGCGAAGTTGGTAAGGCAATTAAATGAGACGACGAGTGTCCCGGACGTGCTAGAATATTTGCCAGTGCAGAATTGTGACCGCCAGCCCCCCCCCCCCCCCCCCCCCCCGGGGGGGGGGGGGGTCTTTATCACGCAGTAGTGATTGCACGAACACACTGTTTTACGAGACTCATCCAGTTCGAAATGGCCAGGGACGAGCACGAGGTTGAGGCTCAGAAAAACCTTGAAGCGACCTGGCAAACTAGCTCGCCACCCCTTGCACGCTGGTAGTAATCCGATCCGGTGAAGTTTATAATTGTACTGGAGGTTTATTTTCTGGGACGGAGGAATCGCCTCGCAAAAAGCACAAAAGCCGACACAACTCGAGGTCGAGGAGCGTTCTACCATACAAGTGGCGTCGGAAGAGGAAAAACGGGGGGAAAGAGGGTAGCGGGGGGGGGGGGGGCTTCAGCCTCCTTCTCCCCCTTGCAGGTATTTCGGACTGTTAAAGAAAACAATACGGGGAAAGAGGGCGTGGTCGAGCTTATTTTAATCTGAAATTATTTATGCATTTGTATAGCTGCTGTCGCTCTTCACTGCATAAAAGGTTGCGTAGATGGTCATTGTTAGAAACTCGTTGTCAGAAGGCACTGCTCGTCACATGCTTAGTGGTTCGGAAGTTCAAAGCTGTCTTTCCGACCTAAACACCTGTGCCGATAGTAACAAAAAAAAAAAAAAAAAAAGAATAAATGCGGGAATAAAAAGCAGGAGAAAAAAAAAACTATCAAGAATTCGTCATAAGTGTTCTATTCTTGCATATTCAGAGGTTCAGAACTTCGAAACAAGTTTCTTTTACCAAAATGTGTACAGGCTAAAAGAAACACGTCCCAGGAACGTGAAGCGAAAAAAAAAAAAAAAAGTTTTCTTTTAATGACGTGCTGAACTTGAACACTACTAGAAATCTCCTGCCATGAGTTAATTTATTCCTTAACGTGAAAAAACAATAAATATATTATTTTGTATTCTGCAGATGGCAATGATATGTACTGTCTTTGGTGTTAATTTAAATGCGATACCTCAAACAACTTAGACGAAAATAAATATCAAGTTTAGGTCATAATTGCATGCAGATACATGTTTGGACATTTCTTCGAAACTCACGTTGAATAACAATAATCACATCTTAAGACTGCACTTACCTACGTTATACATAGATCATTCTTAAAAAAAAGTATAACATATCTACCATAAATAGCTCCGGCTGCAGCGTTCTTCAAATCTGGCACAAACGATAATCGTCAAAAACCCGTCGTCCGTCCTCGCCCCTTCGGGGATTTATTTCTTTAAACCTAAGCATGCCAGAACATTGAAATAAACGACATTGTCTTTCGTAAGGAACGCAGCACCGCGTGTAAAAGTTCGAGAAAAAAAATTACGAATGTACCCCACTACTTGAAATCAAATGAAACCGTCGGCCGGTCTTTCGAAGTTCGACGAACGTCGAACTTTTACCCTATAAGTTCGAAGTTCGTCGAACTTCTGACTTTTCAGAAATCGAAAGTTCGAAACTTTTCGAATTTTCTTGATAAATAAGTTCGAAAGTTCGAAATTTATCGAATTTTTTGGTCAGTCAAGTTCGAAAGTTCGACAAGCATCGAACCTTGCAGCGCAATAAGTTCGAAAGTTCGAAAAAGATCGAATTTTTTAGCGTAATAAGTTCGACGGTTCGAAAAGCGTCGAACTTCTTAGCTTAACAAGTTCGAAAATTCGACCTCCGTCGAATTTTACGATATGGATAATTCGAAAAATCGAAATCTTTCGAACCTTTCGAACCGCTTGATTCGATCATCGAAACTTCGATTCGAAAAAAGTTCGCGGCATCCCTACTCAGCAGGGCGTCCTGATGTGAACTGTGGACGAACAACGCGCTTCTTTTTTTTATGTGTGTCACATTTTAGTGGTTGCCATCAAAATACTATTGCGGTGGAAATTGCTCATGCGGGGCATAGACGTATGCGATAAAAGTTTAGACGCTGATCAACCCCTTCTCTAAGAAAAAGGCGAAAAACCGCTTCGCGCTAACTCTGTTGCACGGTGTACCGCCTGCGTGAGAAGCGCCTAAAGCTCTGGTACCACTACTGCTATAAAATGATAACGACCACTTAACATAATAAACTGAATTGAAGGTGAGCCTTTCTCCGGGTCTCCCAAAAGACTGACCGAGGATTTCCCCGGACCCGCACAAAAGCCGGTGAGCTTATCTCCGATGAGCTTTTCTCCGGGATTCGTGTTCAGAGTGGCAACAAATTATGTTGTGGTTAGGAGCTCACGATCTTGGCAATAAATCGTAAAATTTCCGACAAAAAAAAATAAATAAATAAATAGCAAACGCAGGTGTTGCTGTCACTGCTGTCACTGCAACGTCCTAGCTGGCTTCCGAAGTTTCCGTGGACGGTCAAGCTGAAGAGTGACCTACAGTAGAAACGTTGTCTGCGGCAACCACTTCCGCTGCTCTAGCTCTGCCCATCGCCATGATCGTAGTAGCCAACAGCACGACCAGAGAGCTTCAAGTAAGACTCTACAAGGGTGTGTTCAACTAGAACCATGGAGAGTGTTTGCAATATTATGGCGGCGTTAGAGATGGCAGATTATACTTTTTTCGCATTTAAAAAATACTTATCCTATCGGAACAAAAAGGGCGTCTAAAGGAAAGTGTTATTTTATTCTTCGCATAAACTACTCGACCATGTACAGGGCTGTTTATAACCGGAGTTAGGTTGAAAAACCACCCGTAGCCCACATAGACCCACAGCAACATTTTGCAATTTAATGGCGCCCACAAGCACGTACCCCGGGCTGAGCAGTTGAACACACTCTTACTTAAGCCGCTCTAGCATGACCAGAGGCTCTGCAGCATGACACAAGTCCGACGTTATCGGGCGGCAATTGAAAAACCACGGCTGGGGATGCGGTGTGGCAATGTCTCGCCATACTTTTGTGAATGATAAACCTCAGAGTGTACCTCCTACCTGTCGGTGGCTGGGTCGTAGGCTTCGACAGAGTCCAGGTAGCGAGTGCCGTTGTGCCCGCCCACAGCGTACAGCCGGCCGGAAAGCTCGCCGACGCCGACACCACCACGGCTCGTGCTCATGGGCCGCACACACACCCAGCGGTCTAAATCCGGATCGTACCGTTCTACGGAACTCAGCGGGAGGTTGTTGTCGAAGCCTCCTGCACAAAAGCGGTACCACGTCGCCAGATTGACACAACTGCTAGTTCTGCATTCTGAGGGCAAACCAAACAAAAGATCTGCAAGCAAAAATATTTTTTTTTATTGTTTTTTTTTTTTTTTTTTGCAGTTTCATTAGTATTATAGTGGCTACATCGAAGATTGTTACAACAAATGATGATGTGATTGCTGCGCCAAACTGCACTAATATGCTGGTCTTGCTGCACTTGCTACATTTCTCCAACATGAAAGGACACGCGCCAACACTGTGCCAAAACATTAATTTTTTTCTCAGCAACTAGACTAACAACCGATTCTACGGAACGGGGCCAGGACGTTACGGTGGCGTACACACATTTTCAGAACTTTCGTTTAAACATGCAGTAATCTAGTTTTAGGGTCTACCTTCGTGTAGAAAACTGGCAGTACTAATATGAAGGTTCGCATTATTTCTCACTGGTCTATGTCTGAGCGGATTTGTTGGCTCTGTTTCTCACTGAACACCAGTGCATTGTGGAAAAGCGACAGCTTCAGAGTAGACCCTTCCGCACAAAGAGCCATTTGTGCCGACTGCGCAACCTCTACAAAGCAGAGTTTGTATACAGTGTGCGCAGTATAACAATAAATCACAAAAACGTTTTAGGGGCGAAGCTCCTTAGGTTGGCTTTGTCCGTCCGGCGTCCGTCCTCACATCGACCTTGCTGGTGCTCGTGCTCGTGTACGGCAAAAAAAAAAAAATGTTTGCGCAGTCGACAGGATTGGAACCTGTGCTGGGAGAGCCCAATGGATTTCTAGTTCATCGTCTTAACCACTTCGCCACGACTGCGGGACGAGTGGGGGGCTCTGAGATGTGGTAGTAACTCGAGAGCTGCGGATGTCCTGGATGAAATGTTGCATGTAGCCGCTCAACGTCTATACAGGAGAGGGCGCTGCGGTCAAATGCGTATAGAGTCGCGTTAAACTTTGCATGCATTGGCTCAACGTTTATAGACGAGAGGGCGCTGCGGTCAACGGCTCAAATACGTATATAACCACGTTCCATACCGCACATTCTCTTTCTGACATGGATGAAAACGAACGAAAGGCTCGGCATGCTGAAGCTCAGCGTCTACGCAGACAAGCACCACCAGAGCTTCGCCCCAATCAACGTCATTCACCAGGTGGAGATGCGGTCATTTTTTTTTTTTTTGTCTGTGAGATTGCGGGGTTTCAAGTCTATTTAACACATGAATCAACAAGCACATGTGACGAAGTAACGTTGGGTAATATTTCTTCTAATTTGCAACTTTTGCCCGAATTCTCTTTGTACGTGGCTTGCATGTGATGCCATTTTCGGCCGCCCTATTGGAGCCAGAAGCGTTCTGTTAATGGAGTGAAAGTTTTGCTGTCTCGCGCCAACAAAGATCCCATGATTGCAGAATACAGTGGAAGCTACATTGGGTCAAACCATTATGTGTCTGATCAAGAGACGTTGGTGCTAGAACCTGATTCCCCAGGTTTTATATGTGTGTTTCTCCAAGAAAGACACACTGTAAATGCTTTTCTCTTGATAGACCATGAAAGGTTACATTCAACCTCCTTTCAATAGGTGTGTTAGCGAAATGTACGAGTGCTCAATTTCTTCCTTACCTACGACAAAGAGGAAGCCATCGAGGGCCACAGCGCCTGCGCCAGCCCTTCTCTGCGTCATTCCGGCCACGTAGGTCCACTTGTTCAGGTGCGGGTCGTACTTCTCGCAAGTGTTGAGCGACGTCTGCCCCACGTTGCCTCCGATTGCGTAGATACAGTCCTGGGGGCACCGACACGAGGTCGTCGTCCAACGAGCACGCGGCGGTGCCGAACAAGAGAACTCCCACGCGGGGCATTATGACATCTGCCAGATGTTACGTCGAGCCTCTAGACGTGATTAGGGGCGGTCACAGCAGCGTTGGTGCCACCTCCAGAAGTGCATACTGCCCCCGTGCTTATAGCGCGAACTTCTAAATGTAATCCGAGTGTTCATTCTAAATGTAATCCGAGTGTTCATTCTAAATGTAATCCGAGTGTTCATTCTTTTACATCTGCGAACGAAACAACGAAATATTGCGTTGGAAGGCTGGAAAACTCACGGATACTGTGTGCTTGATAGGCTTGGTCCACATTCCACTGTTGAATACTACCGTGACCGTGACTTCATGTTGTACTGCCTTTTCAGTCGCCTAGAGTTATTGTCTTCAGCTGCTTCCACATCAAGGCGGAGCAACTGAGTGGAATGTGCAATTTTGTTTGTTCTTACTGCCGTAGCTATCTATCGTCATTCGCAGCTCGTGATTCGTCAGAAGACGTGGCGTTGACTGATGTTCGCGCTGACCTCCCCAACTAATGGCCGAGCCCGATCAGTATTGACAGAAGAAGAACAGTAGGGCCACTCCTTTTGATGCACTGCGTCCAGCACGTGCTCGTTGTCTTCCTCCGTGCTTTGGCTGCACGTGCACGCTCGAGGCTAGGAGTCGCCGAAGTGTTATCGAAGGAAGGAAGCTCGCGCTGGAGGCGAGACAGCTGATTGTCCTCCCGTTCGCTCTAACTCTTTCGAGGACTAAAGAAAGTATTTACTGGCAGCCTTAGCCATGTGCGCGGCTTCTGAGCGCGTGCTGACGGCGAGCTTCCACACCTCTTTTGCATCATGCATTCCTTACCATCAAGATGACCGGTCTTAGCGGCCTATTGATGTGAGCTCGTTTTTGAGCACGCGCTCTAAACGCCGCCCTCAATTATGGCGTCCAGTGAATGCCCCCTATAGGCCATTCCAATAATCGTCTTCCGCGTGCTGCAATATTTGTCTAGTGAGCTTTGGAAAGCATTTTGCAGCACCCGTGCTCTGCCTTGCATCCGTCCTCAGCTCAGGGACTCTGCTTTTTTCTCTTGTGGCATAAGTGCTAGACAGGTGGATAGTATAGATGCAACATACCCTTAGGACAGCTACCGCCACGCCGCCTCGCGGAGACTTCATGGGTGCCACCAGGGTCCAGGAGTCCGACTGGGCGTCGTAGCGTTCGACGGTGTTGAAGAAGGACACGTCGTCCATGCCGCCCACGGCGTACAGCGGACCACCCAGCTGACAGAGGCCCAGGCCCCGCCTTGAAAAGCACGGCAGGGACCCTTTCTAAGGATGATGATGATGATGATGACTACAGGTTTGATGGTACAATCAAGAGTCCTACTGCACCAAGTCCTGTCAAGGTCAACCAAAAAATTTTCTGATCCGAATTAAAAAAAATAACGAAGTTACGAAATATTTACAGATAGAGGACTGAGCACGGTCAGTACAAAGTCTGGTCGAATATATGTTAAGGTCTTCGAGGAGAAGATGCTCTCAAATGAAAAGGACACGGAGTTTTCTCCTTATACACGAATTTATTTCTCTGCTCCATTAAGTGGCGTATCCAGGAATCGTTTTCGGAGTGTGTGTGTGTGTGTGGGGGGGGGGGGGGGGGGGTTAATATTTAATTCCTATATTAAAAAAAGAAAAAGAAGACACCAAAACTGATGATTTCGGGGGGGGGGGGGGGGGGGGTATTGACCTCTTGAACTACCCCCCTGCCTACGCCACTGGTTTCACCGCAGCTAAAACGTAACAAGACCATCCGTGCTGATCTTTATTTGGAAAGAAGCGGAGTTCCGTTTTCTTTTTTTTTTTTTTTTCCTTCTTATGAATGCCACAAGGAAAAACGGGCTTCTTAATTTCACTCAACAAAAACTCGTTTTCTTTTTTGTTTTGTTTTTTTGATGAAAGAAGATAATTATTACTTATGACCCAGCAGACGTGATACTACACGGTGTAAGAGGACACAACACGACGGACCCTGCGACGCGATCGATCGGCCAAGTGGGCGTCTGCATTAGAGGATAATATGTAGCCACTATGTTTTAATTACGGCGAGAGTTGGAAGCCCACCTGGGTATGTTCATTGTGCAGACCAGCTTCCAACAGTTTGTCAGGGGGTCGAACAACTCGGCACTGGACAGGTGATGCTTGTCATCACTGCCGCCAACGGCAAAGAGCTTGCCTGTAGACAAGTTGGACACTGCAGTGAGCGTTCGTATGAGAGCAAGTGCAATGCTTGTTGGAACGCCTAGTACATAAGTAAGCATAGCAAACCAAACAAAGTGGCTATGCCAAGACTTTGAGCCACCAACATAGCTATATCCATTCTAATACCAACCTGGAATTGGTTCGTCGGCAAAATACAACAATAACAAGCCACACTCTGTGGTATTTTCTCCCCCTTTCTCAGCAGCTAAGTCCTGGTTCGTAGAGAACTGGTGGCTTTCCGAAATTCGTATATGATGTAATAGCCATTGCTAGAACTAGCAGACGATGTCTGTGTTCGCCGTCCAAACGCCTGACCCTGACGCCGCTGTTCCCTCTGTGCGAGAAGCAGACAATGGTCTCCCTCGCTGTGATTGGAGGTATATGGCGGGTAGAGACAAGGGCAGCTGTACTTCGTCTCACCGTATACGATGGACTAAAGGCCGAAGCTACGGACCGCCATATCCAATCACAATCTACTTAGAAATTGTGCGGTATTTCGCTTTGATGACCGTATCGGTGCCCGCGTCTCGGATCACTGACGAGGGGACGGGTGGACAGAATCGAAGAGCACTGAGTGACTCAACAATTTTACATCGCAAAAGAAAGCCACGACATATAGGCTTTTTGCAGCGTCGCAACTATAGAAATGATGCGGCGCTTTTGGATTCGAGCAATATTTGTCCACCCCTAACCAATGTTAGGTATGTCATAGTAGAGCGTGGAACGTGATTTGACCTGGCGGCCCGTGTCTTTGGCTTTAATGCATCGTAAGATGGGACAAAGTATAGCTTTTCTGTCTACCCGCTAGCCTTCCAATCAGAGCTCGGCGCTTTGACGTCATTGTACCCGCTGCGAAAGAAACAGACGAACTTGCTCGCCGTGCAGTGGGACTCGAAGATCCCCTGCTGTGCATATTCAAGCGAGGCTTCTGATATTATGAATTTCCGCAGTCAGTCTTGCAGCATAGCAGAAAAGAAGAGGCTACCTACGAGTACGATATGACACTTTCATTTCGGAGAAGTTAACTGCGGTGGTAGGAGAATACATGCCTGCAACGGAGACAGCTCCGACGTGTCGCCTCCTGGTTGTCATATTGGCAGCCTTGAACCAGCGGTTGTGGGCGATGCTGTAGAACTCGGTCGAGTCAGAAGGGTCTCCGTTCGAGTCACGGCCGCCGACACAGAACAACGTTCCTGGAAGGAAAACAATAAAAATGCCGTTTTCTCTTGTTCTTTGGTTGTTCTTTAGCCGAGGAAGAAATATTGCAACTGCATTTATTTTGACTGAAGTACTCCGTGCGTTCTCGAATAACTTCACGGACGCTTGGGGGTGAGGGATCTCTCTGGGCATAATGTGCGACACCGGGAAAACGCATGCTGCGCATAGAGTGCCTAGATTACAGTTATACTCCAGCCGCGCCATGCTATCAGTGCCACCTTTGAATCGCAATGCTTGATGAGCGCTGGAGGTGAATCGTTCGCTAGTTGCACCATTCTTCTGCGCATGTATGTCGTCTGCACGCCAGCACTGTCTGTACTGGACCCAGCATGCTAGTGAACATGCGCCCACAATACCGCCATAGCAGTCGACACCAAGACGAGGAGCGTCTCAAGAGGCGCGTCTAGACCTCATAATGCATCAGGCTAAGCGGAGTATTTGACAGATATATAAGTGAAAGTAAGCAGAGTTCGTCTATGACGATGATGGCCCGGGCAAGCTACTTCACCCTAGACACTCGAACCAAAACCAGCCGCCGTGATGGCAACAGCAAAACTGCGGAATTATAGGCCCACGCAAACACGTGACCGCGAGAGTGCGGAACACAAAAGCCATACAAAGAACGTTTTAACAACAATAACCCCGCACTATTCGTTGTCATATGCCGTCGCTGATAGTGGCTGGGACAGCACGCCCACCGTTTGAAGGGCGTGACCCTACCACAACGAGCGGACACATGGTCGTCAAGTGCCGGAGCATGCACCGGAGCCGAGGCGCGTCAGCGCTGAGTACCTGCGTAACTGTGCCGCGGTCTCGAGCGCTCCCCGGGAGCCGGTGGGAGCCCCGGCAGGAGTCCGGCTCGCCAGAGCTGGTGGTCACGCGCCTCGTCCAGCAGGTCTCGACAGCGATGACAGCCTCGGAGCAGTTCCTCGTCCTCGGTGCGGCGACGCACATAGCCCGCAGGAAGCAGAGACAGCCGTACGCGGGCCAGGAGGTTGGGCAGTTCACTACCGCGTCCTGCGATGTCTTGCTTGATCCAGCGCATCAGGGCTTCGTAGACCTGTGGACAAAGGTGGAAGTAAAGAACGCGGTCACCTGTAATCATGGGGTTTGTGGTCACATTTTAGTGGGTCAGTCAGTCGGCACAGGCTTTGATTATTATAGGTGGTGTTGACAAACTGTGTCGGCACAGAGATTATTATACTTTGTTGCAGGTTAAGAAAAGTGGGACAATGCCCTTCCACAAAGCCCTCAACTCTTTACACTTGACCAGAGCGGACGCTAGAGGGAATGCGAGCGGATTTTCCTCCTCCGTAGCCTCCTCTCCAGCGTTCACTCTGCTAAGGTGCAAGGAATTGAGGGCTTTGCGGGAGGAGATGGTCCCGCTTTCCTTAACGTGAAACAGAGTGTAGACTTACAATTGGAGGCTTCGGTCAAAGACTGCGGGATCCGCCCAAATCAAGGGCCCCGATCACCTGAGTCTCGGACTCCACACCGAGGTCCGCTGCCGCCAGCAGCCTGTCGAGGTGGTCGACGCCCAGGGCCAGGTACTCCCGGGACGCGGCCACCTGCGGAAACCGGGCCCTGGCGAAGCGCTCGGCGCTGCGGGCCAGGTCCCCGAGACCGTGCGACTCGGCGAACTGCCAGACGCCCAGCGCGTTGCCCGGCTCCAGGTGGGATCGCACGAAGCAGGAACAGGCGCGCATCAGGGGGTCCAGCTGCAGCACCGAAGACGCGTGCAGCAGCGCCTGCGTCGGGCGTGGACGGCAAAAGAAGCGCTGCTTATATTCTTTCTCTTGGACTTACATTGTTCTCGAATAACTATAGTAGGCATTGGCTGCGAAGCAACAATGTGATGCTCAGGAGTTGCAACGCTCTGCGTTAAACTAGGTAGATATATGAACTGCAACAAGGCATGTAGTTGGGCTAGTTGGTGGCACATACTGTTTGGTGGGAACAGCGCAAAGCCTGTATTACAGAAGGGGTCACGTGTTTTATGGGCCCCGTTTGCAATTCGAGCCGCAAAGGAAGCCTCGAAATCGTTGATCGTCTGCAAACGCCTCCGCCTTTCCGCCTTCTTTTCTCCTCGCCACGTGAATGAACGACGCATGCGCACTTGCGACCAATCTCCGCAGGAAGCGTCTACCATTAAAATGGCAAGCGCTCCCCATGGTTTGAGATGAACCCTCTCTCCAATCTAGGCTCTCTACTACAGTACTGTATGGATGGATGGATGGATGAATACGGCTGAGCCCTTTGGATCGGGCGGTAGCTTACGCCACCTAGCCATTTTGTTTTACCATTTAAGCTTAGAATATTTAAATGTGAAGTCTATATTCACTCCGCAGTGCAAAGAAAGTGAGGCTATGAAACCCCCTTGCCATCAGTGATTAAGAAAATACCTAGTTTTCTCTCGATTTCTGCCACCATTCACTTAATCTTTGCTTGGTAATCTCTACAGTCTTGAAATCCACTCTCCGTACGTGCGCGCGTCGTCCTCCACCTAGCGGCTAGTTCTAGAACAATTTTTGGTGAAAAAAAAGAAGAAAAAGAAAAGAGAAGTTATTAGGGACTTTTAGTATAGATCGTCACGATAACTCCTGTAACAATACCCGATACTCCTCTGACACTTTTGCGCATGCGTCGGTATTATTATCGGAGGTATATCCCAACGATTTACTACAACTCCCTATTTTCGGCCCCATTTACCATTGACTGAAAACGTGTGCCGGCTGTTACCTGGATGTGCACTACGTGACACTGTTAACGCTAATTTAAGTGGTAAAATGTACTTCCCGCCGATTCCCTCGTCAGAGTTAAATGCAAAAGAGCGCTGGTGTTGTGTTCGCAGTTCGCACTAACAGCGACGCGCGGTGTACGACTAAACACTGACAGTACTATTCTAGAAGTTTGTTCGGGCGGGTCGGTTAACTCCGTTAAGAGCGTTTCTCGTTTTGCCTTGGTGCACCGTGGGGAAGCGGCATCCTCGGAACCGGCGCAGCGATTCTCCGTAATAAACTTCGCCGTGCGTGTTTAGGAATAAAAAAACATTACGTTAGAGCGGGATGGTTCACGTGCGCGAGTGGAACATTTAAGTATGGATGCGATAACTATACCTTGGAGTGAAATATTATGTAAACGTATATACGCTAGACTGTCATGGTCCTGACAAGCTTTCTGCGTCATTTTGTCATAATTTCGCTCTTTCAATTCGTGATTTCAGGAAAGATGCTTGCGTATAGGGGGATGGTTTATCAATCCCCTCAAGTAAGTAATTTGAGTAAAAAAATTATGGAATTTTCAAAACTGTCCCGGAGAGGTATAGTACTGCGTATTTCACAAGGATAGGTAGCTCAGGCAGCCACCCAGGCACGCACTCAAAATCCGGCGCCCTCAAACGTCCTCATATATAAGTTCCCCCGACACGTTTAACTTATAGCACGCTTATAAATTGATTAACTCCAACCGTTAATAACAAAAGGCTTAATCTCGTGCTCGAACGATTCCCCGAAACGAAATCAAAGCCGCTCAAAACTACACTCCGCGCAAGTTTGAAGATCCCAGCGATACATTTCTGAAGGCAACCACCGACGCCACATAGAAGACAAATCTCGTGCAGGCGCTCATCGTTGCCAGATCCCCGACACGCCCCAAATGGCAAACACGCTAATGATCTAAGTGCAGCGCTTTATGAAGATCGACGAGAGCACGCCGCAGAGCGGCAGGAGCATCGGTCCGGCGTCACGGAGAAGCGGCGACAACTCCCTGATAGGTTTGTGCACTCTTACCTGAACGCCTTCGACGTTGAGTTGGACCGTGCCGGTGTAGGCGAACCGTATGAGCTGGTCCATGGCCGCCTCATCGATGTCGCCGATGCTCACTTCCTGCACGCGGTGGGATGTTATCGGAACGCAGCCATGGATGTTCCCTACTAATGTGTAACTTAAATATCCACAGCCTAGCTTTCGATCTCCATCACCCAGCACATGCATGTTCGTCTCTTTGGAAGGCAGTATAGCCAAATTAACTTTTTCCGTGAAGAGTTGTCCGTTTTCGCGTGAGCACTCTTTCCACCTAGCGGCAGAGGCTTAATTGAATTTGCTTCAGTGGAAACGGGTCGTCTTGTTAGAAATAGGGTTTTATACACGGCTTGCACTTGACGTCATCGTACCATGTGACGTCATCTTACATTGTGACATCATTTACCATGCCCATTTGCGTTTGCCGAGAGAAATAAATTTGAAGATTCCAAATGTACGCTGCTGAATATGTAGGGACAAGGAGTAAAAATGCAGAGGGGGGTGCATGATAGGGTAGGCTTCGCCGCTTTGTCCCGGGCTGCTTGGAGAGGCGACTGTCGAAAAAGATAAACTCGGTTATGTGGACTCGGGACGTTGGGTATGGGCGCTTGACGTGCCATTTTCTTGTGACATGGGCCCATGCTCGGTATTTCGCTAAGAAGTCGACAGGCTTCACCGAGCCCAAACCCACACTCTAAAAAAAAAAAAAAAAAGTGGTGCGTCTACTTTTTTTAGCAAAACGCTCGGGAGCGCCAATTTCTGCGATCTACAGAGAGAACTCTGCGATTCGGGGTCTCCAAAGTGCTTTACGGTTAACTATAGTCAGCGACGTCTTAAGAAACGCAGGGCGTGACCGATCATGTTAATGCTTCTTCGTGATTGGTTCTACGGAGTTTTTATCGGCTGATGCCGTAATCCTATTGGCTGCTGAGTGACAGAGACTCTCTGACGTCACACACCAATTCGGTGGCGCTGCTTTCGGATCTGTGCATGCGCAGAAGGTTCCTCTCGCGCGAATCTGGTTTCTGCGCACGCTCATAGCAGTGGGGGCAAAGGCGGGCTATATTTGTAAGCAATGCCTTGGTCTGTAGACTCGCCAGATACTTTAAGCCGCAGTCACTAATCGTTAATCATGCAAAAGCTGCAGACGTGATCACAAAAATATCTGCGGACACGCGTGAATCATGTTGTAATCATGTTTGCTTCATACATTTGTGTGCTCCGAACATGTCTGCATGCAGTTCTTGTATGACCAATGTACCAGGACCGTCATACGAGGAAGAAGCACGCCTCAGAAGGTGTCTGCAGATACTGTCTTCTGCGTCGTCTAGAGCAGCGAGATCGCGGCTTTAGAGGTCACAATGGTGACATCGCTCACCTGCTGTTGGCTTTCGGCAAGCGGAGTGGTGAACATGGCGTGGAAGTAGGGTGAGCAACAGGCCAGTACGAGCCTGTGGCAGCGCCAGGCCCGACCGCCGACGCGGACGCACACGTCGCACAGCTCGCCGTCTTCGAAGAACTGGTGAAGCTTCCGGAAGGAGTGTAGCGCCATGCTGGGCGCCTGGAACTCCAGCCGGTCACCGTCGGCGTAGTCCTGGGCCATGGCTGGGCACGGCGTGCAGACTGTGCGGAACGGTACTATACCATGAGAAGATACCATATTGCTGTCGATAATGCTGACAGATCTCTGATCATTGCGTACACTATCGGGGACACAGCTGACTATAACATCGGCAAGCGCTACGCGAGGTCGTCTGCTTCGCGGCTAGCAGACGACCAAGTGGCGGTGGGGTCACAGACTGGAAGAACAGTGAATCTCTGAAAGGTATCACGAGATGTGATTTCTCTCGGAGAGCATGTGGCGCTGGGAGTACGGAACGGCCACCGCTCGCATGTTATTGGCAGCTGTGCCCACGATTGGTTTGCACCAACGTCACATCAGCTGCCATTGTAGTGGCCTGGCCACCGAACCCGTATCTCCTGCGGCACATTTTGCGGATCACCGGTTTTGTTTTTTCTCGGCAAGAAAAGTTGAAATTACCATCACCACTTGTGATGACGTCATATGAAAGCCATGAATAGTATTGACCTTTCCAGCGGCAGTCTCGAACGAAGCGATTTACAGCGCTCGCCCCTGGTTTTGAGAGTGTACGTCAGTGTTGCCCGACTGATCTGGGCTGTGAGTTCTCTTGTCAGTGGGCTGTGGCAGCCTGCGCTGGCGCCATTCCGGACGCTGGTAGCGGCTAAATTGCCGTGTTTTATTTTTTTCTTTGTGTTCTATGGCGAATATAATTTCTCGAGGTTTGAGGGAAAGCATTGTACTATTTATTGGAAACAAGGCCATACAAAGGAAAGCTATTTTTGGCGAGTAAGTGCGCCGTAGAACACATGCAATTGGAATGTTTGTTTAATTTTAGGTTGATTTTTTTACGGCACCATACACTAAGCCGTGTCAACCTACAACTATCGAAAATATTTGACCACACAGAATAGCTGAACTGCATGGGTATTTTCCGCTCACAACATGGAATTCAACGAGTCTCATCAATCGAACGTTATATGTAGTACGTATCCCACGGTGCCGCGTTATCCGAACACGGTTTGAGAAAGGTCTCAAATAACATAAGAAATTCAATTACAGTGTCAACGATAGTCACTTCACGACGATCGGACAGAATCCGGCTTGTTCTGGGGCACGTTTTGAGGAGAGCTGTTTTTTGTGTTTTTTTTTTCTGCGCAGCATTAAAGCAAATCAACGGACGTGTGTATTCCGTCCCCATACGCCGGACCTGACCTTATCTGGAATACATTTTAGCGCTAAAAAAACAGGGACAAAGAGGCGAGAAACAGCATGTGTCAGCGTGGCCTCAATTGATTTACTGGACAAGGAGCGTGCGTTCCTCAATGACGCGGCCTGGCACCGGGTTGGCTAGTGGTGGAGCAAAATCAGAAACTCGGATGGTATAAAAGTGTCATTTCACGTAATAAAATCAGTTGTTAGTAGCGCACTGTGCTGTCTGTTTCTCGCCTCTTTGTCCCTGTTTTTTTAGCGCTAAAATGTATTCCAAATTCCAAAACCAACTAGCCGAACAATCTACTCTACTGACCTTATCAGCTATTTTTCGCGAAGACCGGGAACATAGTCAAAATGGCTTTTCGGAGGTTACCTCCATTTGGCTGGGGCCTCCTCTCCCCGCTCCCCCTCATACAGCATTTTGTCATGGGCGTGCCCTCCCTCCCTTCCCCCCCCCCCCCCCCCCCCCCCCCTCTCCCCCGAAACAAAATTCTGGCTACGTGCCTGCTACGAGCCCTGGTATTCCCTTGTTCTCGCAGTGGAAGATAACACAAAAAAAGGGTAAGCATCCTGAACAGGTGAGTAAAGTAAAATCTTTTAGGAAAAGCCGGCAAACTCCGAATGCACAATGCAGGTGGGGAGTCACGCTGATAGGGTTCCACAGCACAGGCGTGTTGCAGAAATTTCTGGCTGATAGGGGTCGCTCGAGTCGCAAAATAACGGCGGTCAGAAAGCTTTTTTTTTTTTTTTTTTTTTTCTAAAGGGACCGAGACAGTCTAACTGGTCAAGTCTCTCCGTGGAGGAGGGAGAGGTATCGCATGATACCTCTCCCTATATAAAGCTATAAAACACAATGCGTCGGAAAATATGTGTGTATGTTGGTCATACGTTTATATATTGAGTGCCACACGGCCACCCACAAGGTATCCGTCCTTCGTGGGCGTCGGGTGCGACGCATGTTGCCGGAGCGTTCCAACAACTGAAGGGTCGATGGCCCAAAGACGCCAGACAGCTTTATCATAGATAAATTGTCGTATGAATGTTTAGAAACAGGAAATGAGTTTGCCTTGTAATGGCATCTGGCGTCTCCGCTTTAGATTGGACATTTGGTTAGGGCCCTGCTAACTTGAGGTCGTTACCACGCATCACGCCATTACATGACCGCACGTCGGTGCGATGCACATCCGATCGAAACGGGCGGGGGCGAGGGTGAAACCCAGAAATGGCTCCTGGGTTCTTCAGCGCGAGCTTTCGGTATGTTATCCAAGCTGTGGTGCGCTGAACAGTTTCACCATTTATGTCCGAGCGAAGCAGAAGCTTCGAGCGTGCGCTACATGCCCGTGCGCTCGTGCAGTGAAGGTTTGAGACAGCCTAAAATTTAGTGACTTCAACGCAACTACGTTCGGCCACCAATCCACACGCCCCCCTCCCCCTCGTCTGTTTCTTATAGAAATGATTTAGCCTTTTTTTGCCTAGGTTGCACCAGCCGTCTTTGGTTTGTGCTGATGTGCTGTTACCGGGAGGGCGCGGCGCGGTTACCGGCGTGCTGTTTCGCTCCGTTCGTTCGTTCGTTACGTCCACTTTCATTTTATGTAAGAGGGAAAGAGTCTTCTCGCACGCTTTGAAAGACGCGCCGCTGTCGACGCGCAGGTACTGGGGCGTAAGCACATGCTTTCATTTCTCTAGTATGCACAACATACTCGAACTCGACAACGTAAAACCGAGGCGCAGCGACGGCGCTGTTTGCGCGAAACCGCCGATGCGGCCGGGAGGAAAGATTGGCTCTTCGAGGGAAACAGTATGCGGTCCGTAGGTGGCGATCGAGGACAGCATGTGGCGGCTGCATTCGAAACCGCCGACGACAAGAACAGGCTGGCCCTCCGTAGACAACAGTATGTGGACCGTGGAGAGGTTGGAATTCCCATTCTTCGCTGAGTCGAAGCACCTGCGCTAAATGCTAGCGCATTTCGTCAGAATCAGCTTAGCGACAGCAGCGATTTCGGCATCCTTTTTTTTTTTGAATAAAAATGGCGAGAAATCATTTTCTCACAAGTGGTGTTCAGTTCTGTTGTCCCTGTTCTTCTGTACGCATTAACGTCTTTGGTCGCACTGTTTCACGAAAGTATAGTTAAAAGAAATACGCTTTGAATGCTGGCGCCGGTTGGTTTCATCAACTTCATGCGAAGCGGACGGTTAACAAAACTCTCGTTAGGTGTCCCAACCTTCCACCTTTCTTCCTCGTGCACTCACTAGATGACGCTGCCTACGAAACGATCACGACGACGACAGCCAGTATTTATAACACAAATGACAGGACGGTCAAGGTTGGAAAAGGAACAAGAGATAAATATTTCGTTCGTGTGTGTGTGTGTGTGTGTGGGGGGGGGGGGGGGGGGGGGAGAGAAGGAACTCCGACTGAAACACGTGTTTCTTGGCTGTTAGCCCTCAGATTTTTTACAGCGTCTACAAGTTCACGACCCTGCGTATCGCGTACTTCTCACGCGTGGGCTCCCCGTTGCCCCCCCAAGCTCAGCAAAATCTCGACTCGCTGCTTGCGTCAGTGTTAGTGTGCCTAGATTTAAGAGCGTTTCCAACTGTTCTATAGCTGTCAGGTGTTTTGCAGGCCGTAGGAGGCGTCCGCCATTAAAGGGACACTAACAACCCCCAAAATATTCTTTTTTTTCATTTTTTGCCAGGCGTTTTATTATGGTATCGGAATCCTTCCCAATTATTATTTTGCTACAGAGTCACGCTTTTTTTTTTTAATAAAGCAAAAAAACGCAACTGCTCGAAACTGAAACCGAAACCCACGCACCGCACGGAGATGTGGAGAGGAGAGAGTGAGTGGCGGAAGTCACGTAATGCACCGGACCGTGCGATTTTTTTTCTTCCATGTGCAGCTGACGAAATGCGTTCGGGATCCGTTCGCCGTGCGATTCCTTTGCATTTATGTTTGTTCCGCTCGCTGTTATGTACTTCAAGATGAGTTGTTTTGTACATTTAAGTGTTGGCAATTACTAGTGAGTGCCCGAGGGGAATTCCCGTAATCGGCTCCGAAAAAAATACTCCCAAGATGTTGCGTGAAGAGCTGCCTCACATCTGAAAGTGGCATTGTGTGGCAGAGGTCTCAAAAATGGAATCCCATACCATTCAGTTCAGTGACGTATCCTCAACAACAATTGTGTTTGTTTTTTTCAGTGATAATTGTAAAAAATTAAAAAAAAAATGTAAACAGCGCAAAATGTTTAAAAAAATGGTACGCCCACACTATGGATTGAACCCGCGCCCGCTGCGTGCGAAGCGGACGTCTTCCCACTGAGCTACTGAAGGAACTCTTTCGTTCGTAGTAATGCATCCGGTCGACTGTATGTCGGAAAGTGCTGCCAATTTCCCTCCAGTACATGCACTCCTGGCTTGAAGTCGGGCAGCACCACGCATTGGCCACATTGCCATTAAGAAACCGTACGCGTGCGTATTCAACTCGATGTACGCACTTTGTGCTTGACGTTTGAGCAAGCGATGTCTTCAGCCCCGAGAAGGGACGACGGCTCGGCGACGTCTTCGTAAAATCGGCTTGCTGGTCGGGCGTGTTGTACGGAATGAATATCCATTCTTTTGATCGGTCCGAAATTTCTCTTTCGAAGGAAGACAGAATTCGCCGGTACCGTGAACAGCAGTTCTGAAGTAGAGGTCCCAAGCCCGTCGTCCGCTGCCACCCGCAAGTCCCACGAAACGCGAAACGACGCCATGTTGAGAAT